CAGGGTTTTGGTTTTCAGGTGGCAAACTGGACAACTGTCCAGCTGGAGTAGAGAGCTGATTTAAAGGGTTGTCAACCATGAGTTCTTGCGGGTCCCTTGGTAGGCCACCAGCTGGTGTAGTTTTCGCCATACTTTCATAGGAGTCAGTCTGGATATTTGGGATTTTGTGGGTAAAATCGTTAAGGTAGTCTGGTTTCTGAACCACCGTGGAAGGTGGACTTAAATTGATTAGTGCTTTTCTGCTGTACCCCAGATTGCTTGTTTTCTTCTGTGAACACCCCCCCCCCATTTTCTTGCTCCTCAAGGAAGATCTAGTACCTTTAATTGGCACAATTTTATGCTTACACCGTGGATGATGGGACAGGTTACTTTGATTGCTGCAGCGGAAGGAACGTAATGCACATTTGTTGGTTTTTCTCCAGTATGGGAACGCATGTGGGCTTCCAGATGATGCTCATAAGCAGATGCAAATGGACACAAGTGACATCTATGAGGTTTCTCACCTGTGTGGATTCTAATGTGCTTGATAAGCTGTGCTGTTCCTTTGCTGGCATAGTTGCAGTACCGACACTTGAGCTTCCCATCAAAAGTCCTTTCAAACCCGTCTACTAACATTCCTGAGTTTTCATCCTGAGAAACTTCAACAGATGGGTGATCAAGTCCATTTTGTTTTTGTTTTGGGGGGCTTTTTTTGGTACCAGGGATCGAACTCTGGTCCTTGCGCTTGAGCAGCAGGCAGGCGGTGAAACCACTGAGCTAAATCCCCGGCCCCATCAAGTCCATGTTGATCACCATCTATCTGTTCCCAGCTCCCTGAAGAGCCTTGGCTTTCTTGTCCCCACTAACTGATCCAGAAATCACGTTCCAAGATGGGTCTGCTAAGTCAGGTATTCTTGAAAATCTTTCACGAAGTCCAAAAGTTCTGGTGTCTTTTCACCCATCTTTGCCTTTTTTTAAGTTTAAAATTTGTTAGACCTTTTCACCCCAAATCAGTTCCACCTTCTTGTCACTCCAACATTGATGAACTGTGGAGTAAGAGAAATGTACTCTGGAGACACAGCAGGGGACTCCAAAAGGCCATGGAGGGAATTTCAACTAAAATTCAAAAGCCACAGAGAAGTCTCCTGACAGCTGCACCGAGTATTCCGCACCACCTTGTTCAACGCAGCTGCAGTCTTCTTGCCTTTCCGCCCCCAGGGCTGTGTTTGTTGTGTCTCCAGCTTTCTTCCTGCCCCTCTGCCCCGCTCAAGTCTCAAGTCTCGTGTGAGCAAGATGTAGGGCGGGAGCTGCGGTGGAGGTTACAGATCTCTTCTTTTTTTTTTTTGATAGCGGGGATTGAACTTCGGGACCTTGTGCTTGTGAGGCAGG